TTTCCTAATAACTTCACAGTATGAATGTGCATCTTTTTTCTTTTTAAACAAATGATGGTGTAACATTTTGACATCCGTAAGGACAAATGTAGATATTTTTCTAAAAAACTGTGAGTGACTGACAGCTTAGTCAGTGTATTGTAGCTTATAAATATGAAATCTTATAAACATAAGGTTTCAGTTGGACAGAAGTGTGACATATGTAACTTGTGCCATGGACCAAATGGTCACTTTACCCCAGCTGAAAACGAGTTACCACAGCAGCTTGATGGTGATTGTACTGTATTCCTTTAAGCAAAAGGAAAAATTTAATATTCTTACATATTTTTAGCCCGAATACCATGACATTGAGGATTTTTTTTTTACAAACCAGACTTGTGCTGTCCTTCATATGTGAAGTTGACACTACTGATTTGTCAAAACCAAATGTTGGGTTAAAGTATTTAATTTTTATTTATTTATTTTTCTGTTGCATCAAAAATGACCTACCAAATTTAAGATGTGTATACATTGTTATTTACACTGTTCTGGGAAAGAGGCTAATGTTGTAGTGACCTTGCTCACTTCTACCAGAGAAATAAACGGCTTTCAATGGAAGAGGATTTTAGTGCTTTTTTCCTAAAATAGACATTAAGCTGCTCTTTTAAGGTATCAATGTTTGCAGCTCTTCAGAATATCTAGAGACATTTTTTAATTTATGAATATTTATACAAAAAAGGAATTCTGTTAAGGCAACTGCTCTACATCACTTGAGAATGGCATTATTTAATTAAAGAACAAATAGCATTTTTTGGTAGTTCCTGTCCATATCTGTTGTCAGTGTTTGCCTTGTAAACTGTTTTTCTAAATTCACTTTGGAGTGATGGTTTTGTCCAAGGTCGTGGATGAGGAGCACTTTAAAACAAACTGGTTTGGTGTTTTTAAGTTAATCATGTGTTTAATAAATACGTGGTTTTTGCATTCAAACTCATCACATAATACATTGTATTTTTTTTACCTTTGTTGATATTCTGCTTAATTTTTATCAAGTTTTAATAGTATTTGTTATGTCTTTGATTTTGTGTATTCAGACCTCATAGTGAAAACATAAATTATGCATAATTTTAATTTTGTTACCTATGGTTTTAGAATAGTGTGACCTATTTTACTTTAAAATTGTCTTAAAAGTTTGTGTGAGAATTTTTTTTAAGAGTCAGTGTTTGGTATGTACTTTATTAAAATAAATCTGTAATTATAGGCTTTCTCCCTTAAGTTAAAAATGGACATATGCAATCTATAGTCATTAATATACATTTAGATAAACTGTGTGCTCTTAAAGTATTTTATTTTTTTATATTTATTTTTGAAATTTTATATTTTATTGATTTTTTACAGAGAGGAAGGAAGAGGGATAGAGTTAGAAACATCAATGAGAGAGAAACATCAATCAGCTGTACATGCCCTTGACCGGAATTGAACCTGGGACCCTTCAGTCCGCAGGCTGACGTGACGCTCTATCCACTGAGCCAAACCAATTAGGGCAAAAGTATTTTATTTTAAATAGCACTCAGATCATTAGACTGTATTAAATTGAATCTTTTTCTGGTCTTATGCTGTACTTCATATGTCTAATTTGAGAAAAACTTTGATAATGTAGTAAGTTTTCATGTTGAGCAGATAATCAGATATTTTTTTTTTCTTTTTTTTTTTTTCTTTTTTTTTTAGTAAGAACTTGCACAGTGACAAGACTATGAAGTTCAAGGTGCTACTGATAGGGAGTTTTCCTGGTAGTTTTATTTTTTATAATGAAAACACTACAACAAGGTTTTGAACTAGAAAATAAATTCACTTTCTATTGTTTTATCCCAAAAAACTGAGTTCCTGAACAGTTTTTTGTAAAATCTTTTTAAATAAAATGCAGTCATTTCTGGAACATATCAAATTTTCTTTCTTGAAACAGGTGCTTTGAAAGGTTTGCTCTGTTCCTAAGTATGGCTTTTATTGTGAAATGGAGACACTTTTTTTCTCTTAGGAGCCAATATATATGTGAAATCACTTTTTGAGGGGCTGTAAGTATATCTTGCATTACATCTAAGTTTTGATCAGTGAATAGGTAGCATGAAGCAACCTATAATGCTTCAGGGAACCTGCATTTTGAGCATTCCTGTATATTTTTAAGTGTGCTCAGCTTTTCTGAATTTTAAGAAAAAGATGAAGCAAAGCAAATAAGAACAATTCTGTAAGGATTTTAGCTTGTCAGTATTTTTTTTAAAAAAGTGTAACTATTGGTTGTTCCTATTTTGCTTTGTCTAGGCTATGGGATTATTGAGAAATTTGGATACTGTTGGTATATAGGTGATCTAAGCAAAACCAGTACTTGCTTTCCTTTTCAGGTACCTGGTTTCTGTTATGTGGGAATCGCAGACCTCTGTGATTAAAGCAACTTTCATGAGAATTACTCTGTAAATGGACCAAATTTAAACTTCGTTATATTACATTGAACTTTTGTAGTCCATTTCAAGTCCATAAAAGGATGTATTGCTTAAACTTAAATTCCGAGGCAAGAGGTTATGGAAACTTTGACCCGGAATTGTAGTTTTTCTTTATGCATTACTACATTTAGTGTTAGCAATCATCACGAGATCTCAGGAGGTATATCCTTAATATGTTGCTATTATTCTATTGTTTATATATACTAATTCCATATACATTATAATATTACTTTGGATTCTACCAATTCTTTACTTTTATTAAATGAAGTGGCTCTGGGTTTGTCCTTTTTTTCTTGTTGTTAATCCTCACTTGAGGATATTTTTTCAGTTGATTTTTTTAGAAAGAGTGGAAGGGAAGGAGGAAGGAAAGAGAGATACATTTTTTCAGAGAGAGTGGAAGGAAGGAGGAAAGGAGAGAGAGATACATTGATGTGCGAGAGACACATCAATTTGTTGCTTCCCGCATGCACCCCAACCAGGGCTGGGGATCGAATCTGCAACCCAGGTACATGCCCTTGACTGGGAATCGAACCCGTGACCTTTCGGTCCCAGGGCTGACACTCTAATCACTGAGCCAGATAAGCCAGGGCTGGGTCTGTCCTCTGAGCCTTGCTATTGCCACTTGGTGCAGAGGCAGTGTCCTGGCCCCAAAGGAAGGCTGTTTAGGCTGCAGGAGTTCCTTTGAGGAGGTCTCTTTTAATAGCTCTCGTGAGAAGTAGCTGGTAGATAGGGCTCCTTTTCATGTCTTTCCAACTCCTTTCTTTGAGTTCATACCGAATTTGTAAGTTTAAATTCTTTTCTTTTAAATTTAGTTTTCTTTTTTTCTAAAGTAATTTATGCATATAGTTTAAAAAAAATCAAATAGAACTAGGAAATAGTTCTATTTGATTATAGTGAAAAGGAGTAGCTTCCTTTCCCCAGCTTAGCACCCCTGAGACAAGCACCTTACTGATGTGTTCTACATTTATCTTCCTATTTGAGTATAGTAATATTACTTTTTCTTGATTTATCAATTTCAGAAATGATTCTTAAATTCCTTTTTTGGCAGGCGGGATTTACTTTTCGCTCCCATGCCTCTCAATATAGATTACTCACAACTTGTTAAATTAATAGGTAATAAATGTTGTTCACTGATGAACCCAATGTGGTTAATGATAGAAAGGAAATCAATAAAAATATATTAAAATATCATCATTTCCTTTCTATCAATATTTCCTTTCTACTGGATTCATATTTTTCTCAGAATTAATATTTGCCTGATTTTAAAATTTGCTTAGTTGTTTATATACCTATTACAATGATTATCCAAAGACTTACATGTTCAGAAACATAAGATAATCTATCAGTTCCCTCCCTTTTTTTGTCCTTTGGGGACATTTCTTCTACAGCCAGTCCTTCATCTTCCATCATCTGGACCATCGCTCTCTAGGCCTGTGCACTGCTCGGTGGTCATTCTGGGATCCTCCTTTCTTTTTTAGTCCTTGTTGGATCTGTTTATTGGGTCCTATGACTTCCTCTTTCTTGATTTATTGCCCCTCCCCTTTGTTTTTGCCAAAGTGTATCCACCACCAAAAACTTCTTAGGAAAGGTGCTTGAGAAGTAAACATTTTGAGACTTTATAGTTCTGATATGTCTCTACTCTTGAATGATTGATAGTTTGGAGTCCTTGTTGAAAGTAATTTTCCCTAAGAATTCCATTTTCTTACAGCATTCATTATTCCTTTGAACATTCTGATACCATTCTTTTACATGGGGCCTGTTTTTACACTCTGGAAGCTTTTAGGAGCTTCTTTATACCCCTGACATTTCATGATGATGTGTGGGCCTACGTTTGTTCGTTCATTCATTTATTCATTCATGTTGATGGTACTTGACTTGGTGGAATCTATTAATTTGTAGACTTGTCTTCTTCATTTCTGGGAAATTTTTTGTGTTTTTATCTTTTTCTCTCTTTTTTTTTTTGCTGTGTGTGTGTGTGTGTATGTGTGTGTGTGTGTGTATTTTTGATAAATTTTCTCTCCTTCATTTTCTATATTCTGTTTTTCTAGAATTCCTGTTATTTGAATGTTGGACCTCTTAGATTAATCCTCTGATTTTAAAAATCTTTCCTCTCCATTTGCTCCTGAAGTTGTATTTTTGTTGTTATCCTCTGGCTCTTTTGTTAAATTTTTTTAAACTACAGGTTTAATTTCTAAGATATATTTTTTCTCTCTTCTCTTTCATAATAGCCTCTCATTTTATAGATCCAGTGTCTTCTCATTATCCCTGAGGATAATTATGTTGTTTTTTTCTCTTATGTCTTTCCTGTTTGTTGCACTGTTTCTGTTTCTTCCATATTTCTGTTTTCTGTTTATGTGTTGTGCTATGTCTTTCATTCTGAAGGCGTCCATAGAAAATTGGAGAGGTCATCCAATATATTTGGGATCAAGTATTTAAAAAGCTAATTTTGTAAGTC